AGATTTCGGGCTCATCCCACCAACTTTGGCCACTTCTGCAGTCATTAATCTGGGATCCATTTGCATGCTCCTCTTGACAGCCCTTTTTTGTCCTCTCCGATGGACCAGGATGACCCGGACGCTGCTCAGTTGTTTCCTTGCCATGTTTCCCGAACTGTACGATGATTCTGTTGACTGTCGGAAGGGAGATTCCCAAATTCTGTGAAATTTGCCACTGATTTATTCCACCATCTGCTTAACCAACTATCCTTCCTCTAACAAAATCTGACAATTTGAGAGAACCTTGAGTTCTAGGCATGTTGTAGCACAAGATAATTAGTGTGCGAACCATTTTCATTTATATTGTGCTCTGTGAACACAAATTAGTTAGCATAAATCAGTTAAATGACAAAAAATTAGGTGTCTATTTACTTGTGACCACTGAGTGTACATTTGCAAAGTGATTTACAACTTATAACAGCCACACCAGTAGTTAAACATGGGTCAAAGGGCAATTAAACAATAAAATTTAATTATAAGTAGATGTATACTGTTACGAGTTTAAAGCTACTTAGGATGAATGATTTATAGAAAGATTTAAATATATTTATATTTATTTTTTGGTGGTTAAAAGTTTGGTCAAATTCACCAACCTTTTATAGTGTTAGACTAGAGAAAATGACATAAAGTATAAAGTTTTATGTAATTGATACTTGAAACTGTTGGTAATTTGTGAAATTCCATAATTACAAAATTGGGGAAAAACAAGACAACTGTACATTTAACAAATACATCATTTATCATGACTGTGGTTTTGCCAGTAAAGGCATCATCAGGTACAGATTTGTTTTTGAAACAGCACTCAAGGCCTTCTGTCTCAATGGCTAAGGCCACTACAATATTGATAATAACAAAAAAATTTATATTCCAATTGTTAGACAAAATTCAAAGTTCATCCTTTTGTTCTTCATATTATTAGTATTCACATTATTCTTGTTTCACAAGCCTGCAGAGAAAATGGCTATGAATATTTTATTCAAACCTAGTAAAAAAAACTCTTGTGCAGGACTATTTTTATGTTGATTTTTGAAAGAGATTTTATTGGTTATTTCATCAATACTGGCCAAGTTTGTATTTGAAGACATTCAAGCACTGAAGCCTACAGTAAAAATGGCTAGGTATACTTTGCCAAAATCTATGCACAGCCACTAAACAAACTCCTGTGAAGCTTGTAGGGCTATTTTTAAGTTGAATCTTGAAAGTCGAGTTGTCCACTCTCTAAAATTTTCTGAGTTATTTTTTGCTACCAATATAAGCTCTTTGAAGTCATTCAAGAATCGCAAAAATGTAGAAGCCATTTGAGCATCATTATACTAGTTAGAAATGGTTAATTTTATTAGAATAAACAATGTGTATATTTATAAGTGTCTTCAGTCTTATTATTATTAATTATACTGGTGTATTTAAGTGTTTTACACTCACAAAAGAAAAACCTATCATTCTATACGTATTTGAAGAACTTGTAACATTTCGCTACAATTTAATTCTTCGTATTGTTAGCTGACACTGGGCAATTTGTAAATAATTGAATAAATAGAGTTGTTTAAACAACTCTATTTATTCAATTATTAATTATAGTTTTACAACCTGCTCCAGAAAAAACAGTTATGAATATTTTATTGAAACTAGGACAATAGTAATGAATGCAGTATTGAGTATGTCATTGGGTAGTTTTAAAATTTATTCAAGTGCCTTCATTTTTTTTGCCCTAAAGAATTTCTGTAAGTCTTTCACTTTCCACTGTTGGGAAAATCCAATGTTTTACTAATGCGGAAACTACCATGTTGAGGATTCATCATTTCTTGAGTTCACTGTTCTTCGTATTTTGTGTCTATGTAATAGTAGGTTCTGATCCTTGTTTTATTAAGGTATTTGTTTTAATAGTAGTTTTTGTTATTGTTTTGTTATATTATTTTTGTAGTAGTAGCACTCTTTGTGGTTTTTGTATGTTTGTAGTGCTGATCTTTATTTTTCTGGTGTGTGTGTTTGTAGTGGTTATTCTGATTATTGTTTTATAGTGTGTGTTCATAATAGTATTTCTCATCATGTTTCATTTTGGTCATTGTTTGAAATAGTAGCTCTGATTATGTCATAGTATGTGCATTTGTAGCAGTTCCTTAGGTCACAGTTTTATAGTATTTAGTCTGATTATTGACTTTTGTGATGTTTGTCTCTAACAGTGGTTTTGTCTTCGTGTCTATTGTGTATGTTGGAGAGAATGTGCAGGAAACAGATTTACAGTACATTTCTATAATAGTTGTTTGGTCTTTATGTTTATAGTGTATGTTGGAGAAGATGTGGAGGAACCAGATTTTCAGTATATCCCGGATGCTCCTCATGTGTCTGCTCGTGTTCCTCGTTGCAATGCTCTTGCTGAATCCATGTTATTATTAGGGGAAGGACTAGAGAGTGGAGCAGCTATTGCACAGTTTGAGGTTTGTTTGAACCAAGAAAAGAATAAAAGAAATCATCTCAAAATGATTGTAAATTGAAAAATGAGCAAATAAAAAAGAGAAAAAAATATCTGTATGTCAGCATTACACAACTGATATTGAAAATTATACTGTAATATTGGTACTGAGAAATAAAACTTAAACATTGAAGATATGTTTGGTAAATTATCTGGATGATTTCATTGAAAAAAATATATACATAGGTATAAGAGCTCACATATTTTGAACAAAAATGCTTCATTTCATATTAACCTTCTATCACTGTAGTTTAACATCTTTGTAAAAATGACAGTTTACCTAAGTGATAGTGTGTAATGAAAATTTTAAAGTTAAGTGCATATTTCATATAATAATCATTGTATCAAGGTAATATAATGGGAAATAGTTCCCAGTAAACTCAGACCTCCATAAGAGATGACATCCTAGTAAACCCAAATGTCTATAAGAGATGGTGTCCTAGTACTTACTTGTTTGTTTCAGTATAATTTTTGATGATTCAAGAATGTTTAGAACATAACAAAAAACTGCAAACTACAAATATGAAGTATATTATATGCCTGTATATGTTAGAGTAATAGAACCAAAAATGAAATTGAATAGAATTTCAAAATTAACTTTTTTTTTTTGCAACTGCAGCAACTTTACAGAAAAAAACCAGGAATGCTTTTTGCTGCATCTCACTTTCCTGATAACCTTGGAAAAAACAGATATCGAGACATATCTCCATGTAAGTAGGCCATTTTCTCAAATAAAAACTATACCTATCTGCAAGTAATTATGCCATTTTCTCAAATAAAAAATTTACTCCTATATTGTTGAGCTTGGTCATTTTAATCAGCTTCATAACTATGAGATACAACTCTAAGTTTATTAAGTGTATCTTCATGAAAGTTGGTAAGATTTTATTAAAATTACAAGTCTGTTGTAAACAAAGTCCAAAATTTTAATAAAGTGTTTACAGTAGATATTTGACTGTGAATTTCTAATTATTTTACCGAGCCAGTCTTAGTTTAAGGTGATTTTCATGTTAAGAATAAAAATGCTTTTTTGTCATCTTACAGTTTTCATATTTCACTTGCATGACCTCTAGAACATCCTAAATTAATATCAAAAGTTTTTAAGGCAAAACTATTTTATCTGTTATTTTCTTTACCCTAACAATAACTGTAGTTAAGTTATCAGTGTACACTAAAATGGAATTTTGAAGATTATGAAGTAAAATGAACAGTTTTTTTTTTCTTATTCTTTGCTAACACCAATTCAGATATTTTTAAATTTGTTATATTTACAGTTTCAGTTGTTTGCATTTTCACAAGCACTTTTTTGTCTGTGTGGCTTGTGCAACTTACAGTTTATTCATTCCCAACAAGCAACACATCATAACAGGAACACATTAGCAGATTCTTGTAAACAGACTCTGAAATGAACTATCATACCTTTTATTTCACATTTCAGTTATGCATTTTAGAACATAAAATAGTACATAACCCACTAAAACAGAATGTCCAAAAACAACTATAATTTAATTCAGATTATGAAGCAATGAAAGTAAACTTTCTAACAAACATTATCAGCTTTCTTCAATTACAATTAAATATAGTATTAATAAATATATATGTGAGTTTAGTTAGATTCTTACAATTTGGTTGGGTGGTGGTAAATCAGTCCACTAATTGCCTGACCCTACACCACAAAGTAGTAAGAAGTTTGTACTCATAATTAAAAGCTTTCTGAATGAAGGGAGACAGGGATGGCTTGTACTCTTGGATAAAGTATTGAATCTGTTAGCAAAAGGTCCTCAGTTCAACTATTTTTAAAGTATAATCTTACATGTCTTTTTCTGTTGAGGAGGGCAGTTTTTAAGAGTAAAAACTTTATATGTATCCTGGAGTTTCTTTTCACTTATTGGCTTTTTCACTTACAATAATGTTTGTTAGAAACTATAATTGAACAGACTTTCTAACTAAACTAAAATAAGCATAAGAAAATCATTAATACTATGAATATCAACTTCACTTACACAAATACACACACACATCACTCATTTCCTCTAGACTAATGTCTGTTGCCTCCAAATTCAAAAGGGTGGTTGCAAGCTTGAAATAGAAAAGTAATCTCTTTCTAGTGTATATGAGCATTTATATCAAAGAAGATAACATGGTTTTGAAAACTGCCTTGAAAGTTAAGGATAGATGAGAGGATCTTATGAGCTGGGAAATTTTATTGTTACCTGAGCAAAAGGAGATGTTAGAACATTGCAAGCTACACATAGACAGTGAAGATGCTATACTACTGATGTTATAAAAACTAAAAGGGAGAGAATTGAGAGCACTCGCACATCACATGACAACAAAAGTGAAGATTGAGATGTTTATTTTAATATTTCATTTTGAAAGTAAGAAATTAAACTTAGATAAGATAGAAATTTGTTTTGTAAACTATATTTTGATGCAATATTATTAACATACAGTCGATTGTCATTATAACAGGAGTTTGTTATAACCAATGGGTGCTTTCACGAAAAACAAATATGGCTTCCATAATTATAATGCCTCACAATGTGATGTTTTTGTTTTTTTTTACACATCATGCAAAAATACAGGTAACACAAAAATTAAGCTTTCAATCTTTTTTATTACCAACTAAAGAGGATTATTTGCATCATCAGTATGTCTGGACAGAATTATGTCAGTGTACTTAAAAAGGCAAATTCTTACTTAATAAAGTCTGTAATCTGGGTTTGACAGTGACATCATGAAAACATCATGTCTTCAATCTGCGTAAAAATGGTTGTTTGAACATTTTCATGAAACGTGAGGTAACTGCATAGCTTTATTAGGCAATTCATGACTTATGACATTGAAGGCACTTCTTCAGCAATGACAGGGAATAATGGTGCATCTTCATCAGAATCATCATTTTGTTGTTCCAGTATGGAAACAATAATGTCATCATCAGATGGCGACTTGCAAACTTCAGTTTCATTGTCTGCTCTCACAAAGTCCAAAAATAACACCTCAGGGAACTTGAGGCATCGAGACAGGCTTTCCCAAAGACAGCTGACTTCTTCATCAGGGATCTCATCAAAAGTTTTACTGGAATTATCATTGTCAGCACTGGTATCTACCTCTCCTTCCATGCTGAGATTAGCAGTATTTTATACATGGGCAAATGACATTTTATGGAAGTAGTTGGCAATGGTGGACTCTGTAACTTTCTGCAACGATGAATGTATCATACTGATTGTGTCTTTTATGTTAATTGTTGGTTGATTTTCTCCAGAATCGAGAAACACCAGAATTTTCTGTACACCCTGTTTTTGGTTGAAGTCCATGAAATTTCTGATCACATTCTGGTTTACCAGCTGCAGTTTTATGTTGTATTTGGTGGGAGAAACACAAATTTTATCGACTATAGGTTGTCTATGGCTGGGTGAGCTGGGCAATTGTCAACGAACATGAATACTTTTCTGACATTTGAACTTCTTATCTTCCTTGTATATCCAATCACTGAATAAGTTGCTATCCATTCATCGAGGAGTAGAGAGTTCACATTCTTGAAATACTGCAGCTTCTTTGATTTCCCTATGACAAACAAATGGTGTCAGCTTTTCTGATCCATCCGTGTTTGCACACAACATTGTGGTGGTTCTTTCTTTGCTTTTCTTTCCTCCTGAACAAACTTCATTTTTGAATTTTAAAGTCTTATCAGGCATTGAGTGCAAAATTAACCCAGTTTCATTAACATTACAAATATCTCTTGGGGCATAGCCTTCAACTAGCACCAGTAATGATGTTGACACCCAGTCATCAACCATATCATCGCTGACAGCAGCAGCTTTGCCACACTCTGAATTAAAGGTGATGCCATATCGAGACTTGAATCTTTCCAGTCAACCATTGCTTTGAAGTTGGGATGATTCAGTTTTTTCTCACACCTCCAAATTCGTAGTCATGATCCAGTTAATGAATGCCTCGCTTCACTTAATGGATTGTACCATATTCCCCTGGTACCGCAGTGACTGGACAGTGCAACACGAGATGGTCTGTGTCTTGTGGGGATTCCTGACATGCTGGGCATTAAGGGGATTCACGATAACCCCATCGATGCAGATTGGCCACTGTTCTGCCATGGCCTGACCTCAGCCTGTTTGCCTGTGTCCATTGCTTTCTGGTTAGGTGATAGAAACTGGGCAGTGGCTCAGTGGGGTCCCCCACTAGGTCTCCACCCCTGAGAGGGCACTCCCTCCATTCCTCTCTCCAAACTTCCTTTATGTTGAAGGTTTCTTTCGTTGATTTATAGAAAGGTTTTCTTGATTTTAGTTTTGAAGTGGTAGGTATTATTTACTTCAAGGGTGTGTCAGTATTTGTGTTTCTAATATGCTGGTGCTGCTTTTGAGTGGAAATGTTTGTGGTTGAGTTTGATTTTGTTGTTCTCATAAATTTTCAAAACATCAGACTTTTTCTTCAAAATTGTAGACTGTGTACTGGGCTTCACATCGAATTTCTACAGACATTGCCATGACAACTACTGGACTCAATAGCTTTGATCATTTGGACTTTGTAGTCCAATGATAAAGCACGCCGCTTAGTAGTTACATGAGTTGTTGACATCTTGAAGATGATACATGAAGTGCTGTTTCGTTGATGAAACTGCGCCACTTTATTTAAAATCGTAGCACCACTATTTCACACTTTATTCATGAATTTGGGGAGTAATGGAGTAATTTTGAAATAACTAATCATAATAAACCTGCAAAACCTCCACTGTTAAAATAATGGCTTCCTAATGGGGAGTTTCCATTTGGCTTGTTGTATTAACAGTTTAAATGCTTATGTCTCGTGCCTTTTCATGCTAATGAGAAGCAATTAATCTATATAGTCGGTCTTTTTTATAGTTTCCCAGCTTGTATTGTACAAGAAATGTTCACTGTACATATGGAAACCTATTGTTTTAATACAAAAATCAGTTCACTGTAAATGGGGTTTCATAGTAAGTAACTTCGTTTTAAACAATGTGTACTTAAAATGGTATTTCAAAGGAACTTCGTTGTATTGTTTGTTTGAAGCAGTTTTCTGTTGTAACTAAGTTTGTATTAATGATGTTCAACTTTATGTTGATTGTAAAATTTTTAATTACATTTTGAATGTAACTGTAAAACATCGTAATATGTGCAAAAGAGGCAGGCCCATCCTTAACAGGTTAAGGTAGAGGAATTTTAGAAAAACCTTTCATCTGACCATGAAAGTAGGGTATTTCCTAAAATAAAAACTGCATCTCTTCACTGTTAAAGTAGACAATGCTTAGAGTAAAACTACTTTCTAAATAAAACCTTGCATGTCTTTTTCTGTTGAGGTGGACAACTTTTAGAGTAAAAAACTTGATATGACTCCATGTAATTAGGACATTTTCTCAGATAAAAGCTAAATATATTAATGTGTTCCAGTTGAAATTTTTAGAGTAAAAATATTACGTCTGACTATATAAGTAGACCATTTCCACTTATAAAAACTTCATATCTCTTTATTTGTTAAGGTGGCCAATTTTTAGTATAAATCTGTACATCTGATCACATAAATTGTTTATTTTATCAAAAACAACTTTTATATCTGATAACATAATTAAACCATTTTGTCTAATAAAACTTTTCGTTCCTTCATCTGTTAAGATGCAAAAATTTTTAGAGTAAAACCTTTCATTTGACCATGTAAGTAAGCAATTTACTCA